CACTGGTCATGTGTTGACATATACTCACGCATATATTATATGTTTATAAACCTATAATAAAAAAAAAGATACTTGTATATAAAAAAAATATTTTAAATATTAATCATTTGTTTTATTTTATAAATTTATTTATTTATATTTTTAATAATAATATATATATATATATATATTAATTTTTATTATATTATATAGAAAAATATAAGTTCATCAATTATGTCTAACATGCATTTTTTATAAACTCAAGTTTATTTTTTTTTAAAATAAATAATCTTTTTTAAAGTTTAAAATTTGATTTTTTAATTAAATAGATTAGATTAAACTAATTTTAAATAAATTCTAATTTAAAAAGACCGACCTATTTTCAACTCTATTTAACAATTATTTTTATACTAATAAAGGCTCATTCAATTATACAAAACAAATTCAATTTTAAAAAGATGCCAATTCTATGAACAAGAGAATTTTATCAACGGATACATTTAACATTGTTATTGGATATTCAATAATAAAGTATTGAAAAATGTGGTGAACCTCCCAAAGCCAATTTCACTTGAACTCTCATGCAAAAGAAAACAGATGATGACTGTGTTTGGTGCAGTCAACAGATCATCAGAAAACACAGTCTTTTAATTTAATGTCCCTGATTGGCCCGATCAGAGAAGCTCCACCCGAAGCAGGTGGTCCAGGCCACACGATTACCGTCACAAGGGTCACGTGAATGCTCAGAAAAAGGCACCAACATAACAACAAGAACAACCGAAGAAGCAGTGAATCACGAGTATCTCACACCACCCTTAATAGCCGCATCATTTTGTGCCTTTTTCACCCAGGGGCACAAACGTAATTTCCCCCTCAAACCCGAGGCCACTCCCGTAAATTCGCAACCAGATTCACGTTTCACTCGCAGGCTGCGCTGTCATCATTATTATTATTATTTTAGATCCTAACTCGCTAGATCTTAATTATTAAGAAATCTTAGTTGCATGAAAAACGTATCATAGTAATTAGTTATTAATATTTAGTACGATGACCTACCTTTTTCTTGAATCTCATTTCAACTTCCACTTGCAGAGACTCCTTTTTTTTATTTTGTGCTAACTAAGATCTAATTAGTTTAGTTAATATAATATTAGAGACCACGTGAAGATGTGAAAGACTTAGACCTAGATAAATGATTTTTTTTTTCTCTGTAGTTTTCAATCTTTCTTTGTTGTCAAAATTTCATAGTTTGAATAAACAATCCATTTTCATTTATAGACATATAAATATAAATATGAAAGAGAATATTTATTGTAAGTGGGTTGTCAAGAGTAAATTTTAAAATATCAAGATAATCAAATGCCTACATCCCATATAATTAAACTTATAAAATTTAATGGTTGCAATGAAGATTGAATCTAACTCCTCATGTTTTTAATTACTGCAAACCTTCTCACCTAAAAACTTATTTAATTTTTTTTTTACCAAATTTAACTTAAGTCTATTCAGTTCACAAAAAAATTAATTATTCAGTGACATAAAAAAAACCAATCAACATTTTAAGTTATAATGAAATAATTTTGTATTAAAAATACTTAATTGAGTGAATTTTATCAAAACTACAAAAATATAATTTTATATATATTCACAAATTTTAAATTATGTTTATTAGTGTTTTGATAGGCAATACATATTTTGCAATCTGAATTAATTATTTATTTCATATAAGCGGTTATTTTAATTATATCTATATTATTAGTACGACAATTTTTTAACTTTGTCATAAATATTAATTTTTGTTGAATATATAATCTTGCTAATCAGCCACCTTTTAATCAGACTTGTTTTCTCAACTATTTTTTATAAATTTGAACAAAGATTTTATTTAACAGAATAAGTCTAGTATCATTCAACTTGTTAATTAATATAAGTAAATATAATTAATAATATATCATTGTGATGATTTAAAAATATAATTGTAATTATAATATGAAAAATTTATAAATGTTTTAAATCATCGATATTGTGAGAAAAAACTAACAACATCATATACAAATATGTAAAAAATTAATAGTTTTTTCTTAAGTTAATTTTATATTTTCAACATATTTAAATAACTAAGCTATTTAACATTTTTCCATTCAATTATTTATCTACCTATAATTGCTTTTAATTAAAGCTATTTTTTCAAATATTGGACAACATGATAACTGGTCATGTATACGTATTAACATCATAACAAATGCTATATCCATCTTACAGCTTGATTTTGTACATGAAAATGATGTTATTAACACTCTAACCATGTGCTTACTTCCTTAGCAAAAACCAGGAAAGTAAAAGAGAGAAAATGATAGAATATAGATAGACTATTCGGAACAAAAAAAAAATGAAAGAAAGTAATATCAAAAAGTCATGGCTTTTATAAATCATGAATATTCTCTACATTTAATGAAAAATAGGTCAAAGTAAAAATTATAATGAATTAATATCATTTAACTCATGCTACACTCAAACTTTCAACCGTTTTGTAATATTTTACCGGATTTCCCTCCTTTTATCCTATACATACACACATATAATATATATATATATACACA